AGATAGAGGTAACTGCAGACATTGTTTGGACACGGCCTTCTGCCTTATTGGACACGACATTCAGATCGGACTTACACTCTACATTGGGATTGAACTGTGTGCGACATTCGGAGATCAGACTTGGGTTGGACTTGGCTACCTCTATGTCCCTCCCCCTTCTCTCTCGCATGTCTATGGATCTCTCCCCATGTGTGTGAGCGGAAGGGCAATCTTTCTGGTGTCTTGCCCTTCCGAAGTTTCTCCCTTTCATGTTGTTGTCCACGTGTCCTTTGATACGAGATCTTCCGCTGCGCTGCTTCCCAGCCTATGATGATGATGATACGAATGTGTTGTTATTGATTTCCCATTGTTTCACTCTTTGCGTCGCGCACATTGACACCTTGTGAATGTTGCACCTATGCTRCTGGTTGTTGCCACTTTCGTCATTGCTAGATCCTAGGCTTTCAGTGCAYTTCACTTTCTGATATGCTACAGGATAGCTGTCAGTAATTGCGATGCTCTGGTTTCCACGTGGCCTAGACGGCCCAGCTTCACCCTGAGTTCCCTCGGTGAAGTCTATTGGCCAGTGAATTCATTCCAAGGATTAGCAATCCTAAGTACTCCCTTCTCAGCCAATGAGCGGCCAAAGGACTCAGGGTCAGTTCCTGCAGAAAAGAACTTCCTTCCGATGATCGGATGGCCGGGTTGTCAAAAAGTGGTTGAGCCGGCACTTTCTGTTTGGTGGCCGAAAGGATCCCGACCTTGGGTCTCACCCTTCGCTATGCTTTTAGAACGCCACTCCAAAAGGCGGACTTCGTCTGACGATGCAGATAGGAATCCACCGTGCAACATGTCCACACATCCTGGTATCTAGTCAGATTCCAGTCAACAGCAAGGATCTGTTCGGTAAGGAGGACCCAGTGATCATTTGCATTGTTGGCCACCGCCTTCGTTATCTTTTTCTTTTTCTTTTTCTTTTTCTTTTTCTTTTTCCTTTTTTTTAATTTGGACCATTTCTCAATTTATGCGTGCCATCCTTGAGTGCGCAGGGGCCTCGCTAATCTTCTCTCTCTGTATCTTTCCAATTTTAACGGATGTCCCGAAGGACATCCATTAAAATTCTGCAAGGAGAGCTGAATTCTGTTGGCCAGGGTCGAGTAGGCCTAACCCTCCCTCTGATTGAAGATAAGAGATAAAGTCCCAGGCTACTTTAGAAATAAAGCCTGCATCCTCCTTTCCGAGTCCAAACAGTTTCCACAAAAAAAATTGCTGCAACTTTTCGAACAACCTTGAGCAGCTTTTTACCTAGCTCTACAATTGCTCCTATAAACCAAAGTAAAGAAAACAAAGCAACATTTGTAACCAGGGCTGTGCCGAACAGTGAGATGCAAGGACTATGAGTGTGAGTGATATACATAAAACCAAGTTGCGAAATCACACAGCTGAACAAGTAGTCGTCTCCCAAGCAGAGAGTACAAATCCACCGAGAAAACCATCCATATAGAGCAATACAATGAAGTAATGAGCCAATGTCCAAGCCCGTAGGCCACACCAACACAGTATCCAAAGTCGCTCTCTCCTGTCTGGCGCTCGGCGCCCAGCCTACTCTACCTGACTAGCCTACCTACAGCCGGTTCACGCAACAGGATGACTTTGACTCTCGAAGACCAATGTACATGACTGCCAACACCATCGCCGACCTCTCTTCATGTACCAGGTGCGTATCTCGTCACCCTCAATCAGACCTTGATTACCCCACACGGCGCCTCCTTCCCTGAAGACCACCTGATCCTCCTCCTGTCTCTTATACACATCTAGATGTGTATAAGAGACAGGGCCTGGGCCAACTGTATGACGCAGCAATGTGAGGCTCACGCGTCTTCCCAACCAACTGGCGTGCTGCGAGAGCCTGAATACCCACATATAGAAATGTCGAATTTTGCCTTTGACGAATATTCAGGCCCGCCTTCACTTAGGGCGGGCACTTGGCTTGCTGGGGGCCTTAGCCCAGAACAATGTGATGTCTGATAGGGCCCCTTGAGGGYTTGTTCCTCACATTCCATCCCCCTTAGCTTCGAAAGTCCGCTGAGATGCTTCATGCTGGTGCCTTCCCCTTCAGTTTCTTCTCATAATCTGCCATGATCTGAGGAGCTGTCTTGACAAGTTCCTCCCTTGAAATCCATCGATCTTCCTTAGGATCTGTATGATGCCTGAAATGTACTCTGTATTCCCTCACAGGTTTGGGAGGTCTTCCCCTGCCAGGTGGCTTGGAAAAAACAGGCGTGTCTCTGTGATCCAGGATATCGTCAACGTCCACGTGACCATCCATGGTTGGGGGCACCATAGATCTCCGTGATGGGAATTGTGCTGTCTCAGCGAAAGGTGCAAGCTTGGAGGCGTGAAAAACAGGGTAAGTGCGTAAGTGACCAGGGATACGAATGACGTACGAGGGACCATCCAAATCATTCCCCACAATGTCCAGGACTTCCCAGGGACCGAAATACTGAGGCATTAGTTTCCTAGAGATGCCAAACTCCTGTCCCAACTCACTAGCCTTGACCCAGACACGTTCCCCTACCTGAAATGTGGACTGTCGGCGATGCTTGTTCTCATAAGCAATCATGACTTCTTGAGATTTCTTGATGTGTTCGACAGTCTGCTGCAACAGTTTCTCATACTGGACACCAAATTCAATGGTTCCAGGAGTTGCAGCAGTTCGGTTTCCAGGCAGGAGGAAGTCTAGAGCAGATTTAGGCTTCCACCCCAAATGAAGTTGATTAGGACTGACGTCGGTGGTGCTGTGTACAACGTTGTTGTACAGCTGGCGATGAGAGGTAATTTCTCATCCCAGTCATCCTGGTTGGGCTTGATGTAATGCCTCAGCAGATGCTGCACCACTCTGTTCAGCTTGCCCATTTTCTTCGGGATGATTCCTAGAAGTCATCTGAAGTTTGTTGCCCATCTGTTCAGCCGCCGTCTTCCACATCTCGCTTGTGAAGCGTACATCTCTGTCGCTCACGATTGTTTTCGGAAGTCCAAAGTCACGCACCCAGTTGTCCATGAACAACTTGATGACGTGCTCAGTCCTGCCAGTCTCTGGTGTGGCGATTAGTCTAGCGTACTTAGTGAACCTATCCACTATGACGAAGATGTGCCTCTTGCCATTCTTGTTGGTCACGAGAGTATCCATGAAGTCCATGGAGATACTCTGCCCTGGGCCAGCAGGAATGGTTAGAGGCTTGCGTAACCCAAGCGGAGCTTGAGTCCGCGGCTTGTCCCGCTGACAGACCTGATAGGTCTGTACGTACTTCTTTGCATCGTCCAACATGTTAGGCCACCAAAATCACTGTACTAAGTTAGCACTCGTCTTCTTGTAGCCGAAACGTCCCGTTGCGTCATGGCACTCACCTAAAAATAAACGACGCAAATCTTCCCTAGATGGAACAACTAATCTCTTAAACCCTGCCTTCTCAAGAAAGAGCAACCCATCCACCATCACAAACTCATCAGTGGTGGCCTTGTTTTTAGCCTGAAGTTTGTTGATGATGTCCATCGTGATGGGATCTTCCTTGTAGGCTTCCTCCATAGATCGAGTCATGTCCTCGGATAGGCCAAACTCATAAATCAGCGCACCCAGGTAATCTGCCCTTCTAGACAACGCATTTGCAACCTTGTTGTACTCTCCCTTCACATAGTCTAGTTTGAAGTCATACTGATCTATGACTTCAATCCAGCGTTTGAGTGCATCGGAGAGAACCGGTTGTGTCTTGATCCACTTGAGGGTCTGATGGTCAGTTCTCAAATAGAAAAACCTTCCTAACAGATTGCGCCTCCAGTGGACAACTGCCTTGTAGAGAGCGTAGAGTTCCCTTTCGTAGGTGGACTTTGCCAACTTCTTTGATGGCATCTTTTTGCTCATGTACTCGACCGATCTCAACTTTTTCCTGTCCTGCTGAGCCAGCACTGCGCCAATGCCGTATTGGCTTGCATCAGTGGTTACAACAAATGGGCTTTGCGGGTCGGGTACCATGAGAACCTCACGGTGCGTGAGAGCATGCTTCAAACATTTGAACGCTGCCTCACACTCGTCGGCCCAGTCCCATGGTGTGTCAAGTCGAGTTAGATCAGTCAAGGGAGATGTGATCGTGCTATAGTTCTTCACGAAGTTGCGGTAATAACCACACATTCCCAAGAATGATTTGACCTCAGTCACAGACTGGGGTCATGGCCAGTCCCTAATGCTAGCCACCTTTGCATCTTCGGCCTAATTCCGTCCACGGATACTTCATGACCCAAGTACACAATTTGAGTGCGACCGAACTCACATTTCTCTGAGTTTATCTTATACTTGTGCTGCCAGAGGAGAGAAAGTACGTTGTCTACATGCTGAGCATGCTCCTCGACAGTTCTACTAAAGATAAGTATATCGTCAAGGTGCACGACAACGAACTTATCTAAGTAGTCATGGAAGATCCTATTCATGGCTTGCTGGAATTTGCCCGGCGCATTGCAAAGGTCAAAGGGCATCACCACAAACTCATACAGACCATACCTGGTCTGAAATGCGGTTGTGTGTTGGTCCTCTGGTCTTATGGCAATCTGATGGTGGCCGGATTTTAAGTCTATCTTTGTATAGTACTTACATCCCTACAACCACAAACTCATACAGACCATACCTAGTCTGAAATGCGGTTGTGTGTTGGTCCTCTGGTCTTATGGCAATCTGATGGTGGCCGGATTTTAAGTCTATCTTTGTATAGTACTTACATCCCTACACCCTATCCAATAGGGCATCGATGCGTGGTAGAGGCTCTACGTTCTTAACGGTGATGGCATTGAGGCCTCTATAATCAATGCACATCCTTAGTGTTCCCCCTTTCTTTGGAACAAAAAGAACTAATGAGCCAAAGGGGGAAGTGCTAGGCCATATCCAACCCTTTTCTGTGAGCTCTTTCAGTTGCCGACGAAGCTCGTCCAACTTGGCCAGAGCCATTCTATAGATTCTCCCTTTAGGTGTCTTGCTACCTGAGATGATCTCTATGGCATGGACAACCTCCCTGTCTATGACTCTTGAGGGCTCCTCGAACAGATCAAGGTACTTAGCGACGATGGTCTCTATCTCTGGGGGTGTTTTAACAGCCTCCCCTTTTGCAGAGACATAGACTAAGTACATTCCTTCCTCTTGGTTTTGTTTATAATAATTATAGAAAGTTGATGCGCATAAGCACCCGTAGGAGTCTATTAACCTACTAGCTTTGTACTTAGCCAGTCTAACGGTTCTCTCACTAGGCAACTCGTGCTTCAACACCTTTTTGTCCCAGTCAAACTGGGGCTTGGCAACCTCAAGGTAGTACATGCCCAACAACATGTCAAAGGGCAACTTGTCGCTCACCAGGAATGATATCTTATGATTTATCTCTCCTCCTGGGTAGGAGAAGGTGCGGACTACATCTTTAACGTAGTCCTCCACCATCATGCGCTCTTTGTTGGCCAAAGTAGATGCTACCGGTGTACTAAGGCGCTGCACCCGGTCCTTTAGGCACAGTCTGTCAACGCAGTCGTGACTTATGAAGTTTCGCGTGGAGCCAATGTCTACGACCACTCACCTTGAAGGTCCTCTAAGGCTTCAGTCGCATCCAATGTACAAAGTATAGTTGGGTCCGGATGCGTCTGCGGGGTGACTAAGGAGTCGATAACTTTGGCCAACTCTTGAACCGGGGAGGGTACATCACCCGCTTCAACGAGAGTAGAAGCAGCTACATCTTCTACCGACCCTAAGTGTTTCCCGAGCTGGAGCTCGTAGAGGCTCCAGACAGAGAAGAAGGAAACCCACGGTTAGAAGGGATCTTCTGCGAGACCTTCGGGTTCTTACATTTGAACTGCATATGGCCATACTCGTCGCAGTTTATGCAAGCACCACGCGACCAACGATCTCGCCACACTTCCTGATCCAAGCCTGCTCTAACCCAAGCAGCTATCTTGTTTGGGTTAGCGGCATGCCCCTGACTCCTTTGCTGACCGCCCTTGCCCCGGCCTGCTGCCTTAGTCTTAACTACTGCGGCGAGGTTGCTACCCTCAACGCTCTCCTCGCCGTCTAACTCTGCACCCTCCACAAGTGCAGAAACATCATCGATTTCAGTTTGATTCCCTTCGGAATCAACCATCATCAATTGACTACCCTTCTTCTTCCATTCCTGTGGAGTCTTATTCTTTCTCCCGTTCATACAAGGGGTTTGAGCACTACCCAGCGTAGCCTCTAAGTTTAGGGCCTTCTTGCTGAATGTCTCAAACGTGTGATACTCTCTACGAGCTTCACTAGCTAATAAGTTCTTGATGTTTGTGGGAAGACATCTCAAGAACGTGGTCAACAAGACCTGTGGATTGTACTCCACTCCTGGGACAACGATCAGGCGCTCTACGGTTGTGGTAAGCTCTCGCACTGACTTGTACTTTCTAGCATCAAGCTTTAAAAGCCCATCGGTGGCAATTTGTGCCTGCTGAGGGTTGTGCCATCGAGCCTCCACTAAGTCCATAAAGCTCTCCAGAGTGTGGGTCTGTGCTCAATCACCCATGTTCCTGCCGAACCCCTTTGAAGCTACCAATCCATTAAGCCAGCGAGCTTCCGAACCCTCTAAGTAGGATGCAACAGTAATCACTTCCTCCTCTACCAATGTCCTCTTTGCCCTCACCCACACTGGCACCGTTTTCAACCACGTGTCGAGAGCCTCGTCCTTCTTGTCTCCTGAGAAGGTTGGAGGTGGTTTCAGGGGGGTCTTGGGATACCAAGAAAATTGTTGTCCCGCTGGCAAGACAAGTGGCGACTGTGGTGTAGCACCAGTCGCTGGACTGGAAGATGAAGAAGCAACAGTCTGAGATACGGCTGTTGCTGGTGTACCACTTGATGGTGGTCCAGACTAAGCGGCATAGGGGCCTGTCGTCGCTGAGAATGGCAGCGACGGCAAGACTGTTGGCCTGATTCCTGGCCTGTTCATGGCATTCAGGATCTGGTCCAAGGTGTCCTGGACGGTATCCAGTTTACTGTCCATGTATGCATGCATGGACAGAATGCTCACCTTAAGAATTTTTTCATTATTACTAAGGGTCGAGTCATCTAACCCCTCTAGTGCAGCCTTGTCTACCTCCCTACCCTCTAGCCTGACACTTCTGTCTCTAATCTCTTTCTCTCTTTTAGTAGCTTGTCTGAGTTCCTCCTCTAGCCTTAAACGAATCCTCTCTACTTGTTGGAGCTCCATCTGCTCCCGGGTGCGTGGAGGCAGCGAGCTGAACTGCGAGCCAGCCATCTGACTAGTGTTAGCTCCTGGCGTACTGGAGATGGACTGTGAACTGGTCGGCATGCCCAACCCTTGACCAGTTGAGTTTGCAGCAGAAGTTGCTGCCGAGGTAGCCATAGCTACAGCGCTAGTTGCTGCTGCTGCTAACGCACGTTCAGCCGCTGCTCCTGCTGCTCTCGCAGTCTCTAGATTGCGGGCCCTTGTCTCGGCCCTAAGCCTTCTCTCGTCTCCTGGTAGTAGAACCTTGAACACAACAGGTATCCTAGCGGTATCCCGTCGTGTCTGCCTCCTATCGTCATATCTATCCTCCCCACCGTCTGATTCGCTCATGAGTTAGGCAGACGCTGTCTGCACTAGTGTCCTCTTTGGAATCTACCACAACATGCGTCTGACCGTATCTAAAAATAAATAAATAAATAAATAAATGTCCGGCGAGTTACCTAGACTACTGGTCAAGCGGCATCAACAGAACCTACAAAAACTGTACACATTGTCTAGGTCTATCATGATTAGTTCTGCACAGAAGATTCGAGAAGAACTGACTATGGTAGATTACAGTCCTACTCTAGTCTGTCTGTTAGGTGTCAGCAGTCGGTCAACCAACTAATCAAAAATAAAACTTAGACTAATGTGAGAAGATGTATGCACAATGGAAATGGTAGTGATGTTCAGTTGAGTTCACAATTGGAATCCCCTTCCCCTGTATCCAATGTACCTAAGAGCATCATCAAGCTGCGGTGTCTAAGGTGTGCAACCACGGCCCACCCCTGTGCCCAGGAAGTATGCTTATGACCAGCCTGCCCTTTATTTACCCTCGCGTGCAACAAGTCTTACGTCTGACTGATCTGGCTGATCAAGAGGCAATTTAAGGACAGCCCTTGGAGTCCTCAGGAATTCTTTAACGTCGCAATCAGGACGATGATCACAACCAGTGGACAGTTCAGACCCCAACCAGAAATGTTTATAGACGGTCTGGGAGCGTCTCCGTAGGACTGGTCAGTCCGCACACTCCTTCTATCAGCGCAGCAAAGAGCCTTAATGGACAAAGCAGCATGGCCTGCGTGTACTAATACCCATGGGTTGGCATGGTGACCGTGATCTGTGCTTCGACCAGGGCCCTTCAGAGGCACCGCCCTCTCCTGCCAGATGCGCCGCCAGGAAGAATGTCGTCTCTCAAGATAGAGCGCACACGACTCCTTTCAAAAGAGAGGACACTCAAGTTGGACTCACTTCCTCACGGTAAGAAGAGATTGAGAGGGTAGATAAGGAATGGGAACAACGTACCTGGAGATAGCTGCCCCCAACCACATATTTCTCACCAATTGGGCTGACGTGCATTTCGATGACCGGTCATTAGCCTCGGTACCACCCACAACGTAATGCAGTGCCACCTCAGCCAAAATGCCACGTCGGCATACTCTCATCATCATGCCTACACCCGCTGTCGCCACAGCTCCCACGCTGTTGCCACAGCCTTCCAGCGGCCGGCCTCTCCACCTAGGCCCCGCTAATCAACCAGCGCCAAAGTATCCTTACTGCACATGAAGCATCGTCAGCGCACCAAGTCACAATGTCGCCGGTGCCAGGTAAGCGGCGATACCCAACCAGCTCCGATACCAAATTGCAAGGAATACGAGTGTGAGCGATATACATAAAACCAAGTTGCGAAATCACACAGCTGAACAAGTAGTCGTGTCCCAAGCAGAGAGTACAAATGCACCAAGAAAACCATCCATATAGAGCAATACAACGAAGTAATGAGCCAATGTCCAAGCCCGTAGGCCACACCAACACAGTATCCAAAGTCGCTCTCTCCTGTCTGGCGCTCGGCGCCCAGCCTACTCTA